ACGGTGGGGAATCTCTTCTTCTGCACCACTTTCGTTCCACTTGGGATGCTCCTTCCATGGAAACCTGGGAGTTGGTGTTGTCAAAGAGAGGGCTATAAGGACCCTACAAAGCTGCAACTCCCAGAGCTCCAAAGGGACCCAATCTCCAAGGGACTACAGTGCCCATAATTCCCATTGGGGGACACTGGGGATGATGGGTGCAGCAGTGTGAAAGAATTTCTATCTATATATCTATATTATCTATCTATACAAATTTATTCTCTATCTATATATATTATGTATACTAGCTGTCTCCTGCCACGCGTTGCTGTGACCCACATGGGAGTTCTTTGTGGGAGGTTTGGCCCAATTCTATCGTTGGTGAGGTTCAGAATGCTCTGTTATTGTAGGTGAACTATAAATCCCAGCAACTACAACTCAAAAATGTCAAGATTCTATTTTCCCCAAACTCCAACAGTGTTCAGATTTGGGCATATTGAGTATTTGTGTAGAGTTTGGTCCAGATCCATCATTGTTTGAGTCCACAGTGATCTTTGGATGTAGGTGAACTACAACTCCAAAACCAAAGGACATTGCCCACCAAACCCTTCCAGTATTTTCTGTTGGTCATGTGAGAAGTGTTTGCCAACTTTGGTTCAATTCCATTGTTGGTGGGGTTCAGAATGCTCTTTGATTGTAGGTGAACTATAAATCCCAGCAACTACAACTCCCAAATGACAAAATAATTTTTTTTGAGTGAAGGACATACGTTGGGTTGTTAGGTGTCTTGTGTCCAAATTCGGTGTCAATTCATCCAGTGGTTTAATCGCAGAAACGAACATTACATTTTTATTTCAATAGATCTATATTTTCTATATACCCTGCATATAATAAAAGTCTGTGTTTGTATGTGTGTACGTTTGTATGCGGCGGTGTATGTGCCTGCTTTCCGATTGGCTCCCACTTCCACAGGTCACTGCGGCCCTCACAAAAGACGGATCTGGACCAAACTTGGCACACAGAACCCCCATTACCCACTTTATGTCCTGGTGGGATTTGGGGGAGGATGGACCACAGATGATGGGGTTTGTAGTACATTCGCTCACTCCCAGAGACCACTGCGACCCCTACAAATAACGGATCTGCACCAAACTTGGCACACAGAACCCCCATGACCCACTTTACACCTTGGTGGGGTTTGGGGGAAGGATGGACCATGAAGGATGGGGTTTGCAGTACATTCACTCACTCCCAGAGACCACTGCAACCCCTGTGCATGATGGACCTGGACCAAACTTGGCACACAGACCTCCTCATGACCCACCTCATGTCCTGGTGATTCACAGTTGGCTATATTGGGTCTGTGTGCCAAGTTTGTTCCAGATCCATCATTGGTTGGGTCTGGTGCTCTCTGGATGCAGGTGAACTACAACTCCCCAAATCAACACCAATTCCCAGAAACCACTGCAGTATGTTCAGTTGGTCGTCCGCCAACTGCACACTTACTTCGTGAAGTCTGACTTGACCATGGTGGTCCATGCCTTAGTTACCTCTAGACTGGACTAGGAAACTACAACTTGTCCAATTTTCGGCAGCCAGATTAATAACTGGGGTTAGTTACAGAGAGCGGTTGACCCCCTTGTTTAAGGAGCTCCACTGACTGCCATTTATTTTCTGGGTCCAATTCAGGGTACAGGTTATCACCTATAAAGCCCTAAATGGTTTGGGACCCGCCTACCTTCGTGACCGTATCTCTCTCTATGAACCAACCCGGACCCTTTGATCTTTGGGGGAGGTCCTCCTTTCGCCCCTGCCAGTTTCACAAGCTCATCTTGTGGGCACAAGGGAGGGAGCCTTCTCCTCTGTGGCCCCCCAACTCTGGAACTCATGAGTTACCTGGAGAGATCAGGAAAGCCCCTACCCTAGAAACCTTTAAAAAGAACCTTAAAACCTGGCTCTTCCGCTGCACCTTTGGTGAGTAGGTACACAACATGACACTACTGCTCCCCTCAACACTTCTGTTACTGGAGTACACGCCCCCCCCCCCCTCGTGGGAAAGCTTGGTTCCATAACCCTGTGTCGTTTATGAGCTCCCTCCTGCAAATAACTTGCTCCTTTTCTTATCTCATTCGAGTTTTTAACATCTTATCCTGCACATTTGGCCCGGCCACTTTTACTGTGATTGTGTTTATTGTAATATTATATTGTTATTGTATTCATATGTTTTTATGTAATTATGATGCTGTTGTTTGTTGCTTATGCTTTTGGTGGCCTTGTGTGGATATGTACGCCACACTCGATCCCTGTTGGGGTAGATGAGTGCAGGTATTAATAAAGACTCTATCATTATTGACTATTACTATAACTAAGCCATTAAGCTCAACGCCTCATCCACCGACGCGCTTGCAATCTCTTCCTCTTTCTCTTTCCTTTTTTCTTTCCCTCCCTCATTTCTATTTCTTATTTTCTTTCTTCCTTTCTCCCTTTTACTTCCTTCCTTAGCTTTTTGTTCCATCTTTCTTCTCTTTCTTTCCTTCCCTCCCTCTTTCTCTTCTTCCTTTGCTCCGTCTTTCCTCCCTTCCCTTTTTTCTTTCCTTCTCTCCTCCTTCCTTCTCTTCCTCTTTCCTTCCTCCTCCCTTTTTATTTCCCTTCCTCTTTCTCTCCTTTCTTCCCTCTCTATCTCTTTCCTTCCTTCCTTCGCTCTTGACTTCGTCTTCCTTTTCTTTTTCTTCCCTTTCTCTTCTTCCTTTGCTTTTTTTCCTCTCTTCCCCTTCCCAAATTCTCCTTCCTTCCTTCCTTCCTTTTGACACCTTCCCTTCCCCTTCCCTTCTTTTTTTCTACCTTTCTTTCCTTTCCTCCTTCCTTCCTTTCTCCCTTTTTTCCCATCCTCCTTCTCTCTCTGTATTCTTTCTTTCCTACCTTTCTTCTTTCATATACCTTCTCCCTCCCTCCCTTCCTTCCTTTCTCCCTTTCCTTCTCTCCCTTTCTTCTTTCTTTCTTTCCTTTCCTTTCTTCTTTCATATACCTTCTCAACTTCTCCTTCCTTACTTCCTTCATACACCTTCCCTTCCCTCCTTTCTTCTTCCTTCCTTTCTCCTTCTTTCCCATCCTCCTTCTCTCCCTTTCTTCTTTCTTTTCTTCCTTTCTTGTTTCATATACCTTCTCAACTTCTCCTTCCTTCCTACACCTTCCCTTCCCCTTCCCACTTTTCTTCTTCCTTCCTTCCTTGCTATTTACACCCCATTGAACGCCCTTTCCCTTTTTATATATATAGATTATTCATGGGGCTTCTCTGTGGCAGGTTTGGTCCCTATCCGTTGTAAGGGGGGGGGTCACAGTTTGTTTGGATGCAATTGAACTATAACTCCCTTTCCTCCAAACTTCTGTTCTGTTGGTCATGGGGAGCCTGTGACAAGTTTGGTCTAGGTCTGTCATTCTGTGGGGGTCGCAGTGGTCTGTTGAAGTTGGAGCTGAATCGAGTGAAGGTACTACAAATCCCATCATCTGTGTTACGGCCAACTTTGAATACTGGCAGAGGTTTGGGGAGGATTCTGGGAAATGTAGTTCACCCACACCAAAACTGATAATACCTAATATCAGAAAACAAACAATGCCTTTTTCTAATATCCCGGGCATCGCTGGGTCCCCAAGATAGTAAATAAATAAAAAGGAGTGAATCACATCAAGGAATACATGCAAATTTTCAACTCCTAAGGAGGTGAAATAGCTGCCAGTTGTGCCAAACTCATCTGCCAGTCAATTATGGAACTGACAATCCAGGTCCCATCATCCCCTAGCCCTGATTTTGCCCCATTAGAGGAGCCAGAGAGAAAGCAAAGGACCTTTCAGAGGTTGTGTGGTATCAGCATACAGAGAGCAGTGGCCCAATGTGTTGATCATAATTGAGGATTTCTGATTTTTCCTTCTTGGCCAAGATAAGGCCTCTCGCTAATTAGTTGTGTTTGTGTTCTTTGCACCCTGATAAGACAGCACCCTGATAACACACACACAAAACACCACAGCAAGGTCTTCCGGCCCTTTGAAGTCCAATAATCCCCTTGAGAAGCCATGCCATGCCAATAAGCAAAAGAGATGTAAGTGCCATTGAGGAAAGGAAAGGAGGAGGAAGAAGGGAAGAAGAGAAAAAAGGAGGAAGAATAAAGGGAGGTGTGATATCAGACAAGCATGGAGAAAGAGATAGAAAGAGTGAAGACAACGGAAGAGGAATAAAGGAAGGAAAGAAGGAAGGAAGGGGTAATGTAAAGGAGGAAGGAAAGAAAGGAGGGAGAGAACACATGGAAACAGAGAGAAAGAAACAAGAGAAAGGAAAGAAGGAAGGGATGGAGGGATAGAGAAAGCGGGAAGAAAGGAAGGACTAAAAGGAGGGAGGAATAATGGGAAGGAAGGAGAGGGAACGAAGGAAGAAATTGGGAAGGAAGGAAGAAGAGGGAGAGAGGGAGGGAGGGAGGGAGGGAGGGAGGGAGGGAAGGAAGGA